GAAGAGGCGATGGACGTGGATGCTGGTAAAAAGCTGCCCAAGCGCTACGCCAATCAGGTGAGCAGCCAGCTGTGTCCCCGTGTCTGTGGGGCAGGGATGTGGGGTGCTTTGTGGCCACAGTTGTGGCTGTGTCCTCATGGCGAGGTGTGGCTGTGGGGCAGGGATGTGGGGTGCTTTGAGGCCACGGTGATGGCCATTTGGGGGCTCAAAGGAGTGTGTCCTGCTTGGCTTGGTGCTCGCAAAGAAATTGTGCTTAGTTCACCTCCAAAACACGTGGAGATGGGATGTGCTTTAGAATCGCTTAGGTTTAAAAGGTCTCGAAGGTCAGTGATTCCAGCCATTAATTCTGCATCACTGTGTTCCCCACTTTAGGAGATTTCAGCTCAGCCAGCAGCATGAGTACCCTGTTAGGCAGTATTCAGCTAAAGACTTCTGTTTCCCTGTGTTTGGAAAGGAAAAAAAGGGCAAACTCAGCTGGGTTTTATCAGCCTGGGTGCTATATTGGTTCTAGATAACACACAGCCACTTAGGCAACCTCTGAAGGGGTCAGCTTGTCCAGGCTCTTTACTCCTGACATTTTGGAATCTCTAAGGCCTGCTTTGTTTTTAAAAATAAAGTGCGGGAGCAGGGACCAAGGTGTAGGGTGCCCAGTGTGAGCCCTGTGCTGTGGTCTGAAGCTCAGTCAGCAGCTGGGAAGCAAGAGGAAGGCTTGGGGAAGAATGTGTTAGGCAGGTTGGACTTCATTAGAGGGGAGGGAAGGAGCCGTTTGGGGGGTGACAAGCAGTGCCAGCTGCCCTTAAAACACCCAGTGTCAAAGCAAAGCCAAAGCCTCCTTGCTTTACCCTTGAGCTGTTTGTTGTCCATAGCTTGAGGAGAGCTGTTACTGACTGGTTCTTCTCCCTGGGCTCCCTGCAGCTGATGCTGTCAGAGTGGCTGGTGGATGTGCCCTCAGATCTGGAGCAGGACTGGGTTGTTGTGGTGTGTCCTGTCGGGAAAAGGGCTCTTGTCGTGGCCTCCAGGGTAAGTGGGCTTCCACAGCTGCTGAAGGATGTCTACCCATTCACAGTCAACACAAAACTGGCTTGACTGGGTTTTTTTCTCTCCTTTTTTCCTCACAGGGCACAACAGCAGCTTACACCAAGAGTGGCTTCTGTGTCAACAGGTTCCCATCCCTGCTGCCAGGGGGGAACCGGCACAACTCAACTGGTGACAAAGGTACAGGGGTGAGGAGGGTCTGGGATGGAGAGAGGAGAACTGCTTGGGAGTTTGTGTGTGCTCACAGACCCAGTGCTGCTCCTTCAGGTTCCACAGCTGTGCCCCTTTTTTTGTGCTAGGGGTGGTCAGCTTCAGGCCAGTTTCTGTATCTCTGGAGATAACTAGATGGGAGCAGTACCAGATGCCTTTATAAGCACATGGAATCCCTGAATGGTTTGGGTTGGAAGGGACCTTAAAGCTCATTTTGTTCCATTGCCCTGCCAAGGACAGGGAGCTTTCCTCTAAAAGAGGGTGCTCCAGACCCTGTCCAAGCTGGCCTTGGATACTTCCATGGATGGGGTAGCCACAGCTGCTCTGGGCAGCCTGTGCCAGGGACTCAGCACCTTCACAGGAAAGACTTTCTTCCTAACATCTAATCTGAAATTGCCTTTTTCCAGTTTGAAACCATTGCCTCATGTCCTGCCACATCTTTTAATAAACTTCCTGTTTGACTGACACTCTTAAACCCTGACATTCTCTCTATCCTCTGACAGACACCTTTGTATGGTGTCATCTTCCTCAATATGTCTTGGAATTCTATTTTTTTGCTCCAAAAAGAGAGGCTTATTGTCTGGAAAATGCCATTTTCTGAAACATGCCCTTGCTTGTGCCTCTGATTTGCAGCCTTGTGGGATCTTGAAGCTCAAGGCTTTTTGTGGCTGCAGTTTGTGTTAGCAGGAGGGGATCCCACAGTCCCACATCAGGGCAGGATTAATGTCAGAGAGCTGGGACCTGGATTTGCCAGCTGGCTTGGGCAGTGCCAGGAGCAGGTGTGGACCTCCCTGTGTTTGTGTGTGCAGTGTACAGCATCCTGGACTGCATCTACAACGAGGCCAAGCAGACCTACTACATCCTGGATGTGATGTGCTGGAGAGGACACCCTGTTTATGACTGCCAGGTACTGACCCTGCCCTCCTTGCTGTTCCCTGAGCTGCTTTGCTCCAGCACTGTGTGAAGCTCACTCTGCACAAAGCAGAAATTTCTCCTAAGCACAGTTTAGAGCTGCTGGATAAGTGTTGGGGGGGAGCAGCAGGGTTTGGGGTGCTGTTTCTGCAGATATTTGTAAATCTCCCAGGTGAGGGCAGAGGAACAAAGGTGCTCAGCAGACACAGCCAGGTGATGTGTGGTGAATGGTGAATGGTCACTGACTCTGCCTCCTTTCACAGACTGACTTCAGATTCTTCTGGCTCTCCTCAAAACTCCAAGAGGAGGAAGGGCTGGGAGAGAAAAGCAGGATTAATCCAGTAAGTCCTTTTGTACTGAGGAGGAGGCTGAGGGGGGGTAAGCTCTCCTGTTCAGCAGGCTTCAGCAGTTTCTTTCACAAGTGGAAGCTTTTTTCCCTTTTTTTCCTTTCCCCTCACAGATCAGGCTTCAAAGTGTAGATCTGATGAAATGGGATGCCGTGGTCAGGATGTAAATAGAACCACTGCATATTGTTAATGAGTTTAGTGGGGTTTTTTCCCCCCCATCCAAAGTGCTGAGGGAGATCACACTGCAGGGTATCAGCTAACTTCCATGCTGTTTTTAGCTTTCCCTTGTAATGGAATGGAAAGCCAGTGTGGTTTCTTCAGGAGCAGTGTTGGTTGGCAGCCTGACTACAATGGGGTTTATTCTGGCAGTCTTGTGGGTTTGTAAAGCTTTAAGCCTTCCCTCTGTTTAAACTGATCATTGAAGTTGTCAGGATGAATGCTGGCTTGCCACCCAGAGTCCCTGCTGAGCCAGAATAAAAAGTCTTCCTTTGAAGGCTTACACAT